GGTCATTTATTTTTCTGGAATTGAGCTGCATGAGTTGCTTGTGTATTTTTGAGATTGATTCTTTGTCAGTTGTTTCATATGCTGTTATTTCTCTTAGGGGCATTTTAAAATCTACTTAAAATAATCAAATCTCAAACTTAGAATTTGTCCTTTTTACCTATACTATACTAAGGATCCATGTATTTTATCACTTATTCTAACCAGTGATCTTAATTCACACAATAATACAAATGATCACATGTTTTTAATGTATTTTTGTCATTCATATAGTAAGTACATATTGAAAGTGAAAGTGAAGTCACTCAGTTGTATCTGACTCTTTGCAACCCCATGGATGTAGCCTACCAGGCTCCTCCGTCCATTGGATTTTCCAGGCAAGAATACTGGAGTGGGTTGCCGTTTCCTTTTCCAGGAGATCTTCCTGATCCAGGGATTGAACCCAGGTCTTCCACATTGTAGGCAGATACTTTACCATCTGAGCCACCAAGGAAGTCATATTAGTTTGAGTTTATTACCTCTGATGAGAATTTTTTTAATCTTTGAGTTTTAAGAAGCTTAATAACATGTTTATGGGTAAATTTCTTTTCTCTCTAATTATAGCTCTCTGTTCAGAGTCTGATGTTTTCAGTAACACTCTTGATACATTGACTGAGATAGAATGGAATCCAGCAACAAAGCTACTAAGTCAGGTAATTTAAATGTATTTTACAGAGCATTATGGTTTTATTTTTAAAATTCATGTTATTGGTGTTTATTGTTGTTGTAACACATTTCTAGCTCTCAGTTAATTTCAGTAACAGTTTTGGTTCCATTTAGGGCTTCCTGGGTGGCATTAATGATAAGGTGAAAGTTAAAGTTGCTCAGTCCTGTCCGATTCTTTGCAACCCCATGAAACTATACAGTCCATGGAATTCTCCAGGTCAGAATACTGGAGTGGGTAGTCTTTCCCTTCTCCAGGGGATCTTCCCAACCCAGGGATCAAACCCAGGTCTCCCGCATTGCAGGNCCCCATGAAACTATACAGTCCATGGAATTCTCCAGGTCAGAATACTGGAGTGGGTAGTCTTTCCCTTCTCCAGGGGATCTTCCCAACCCAGGGATCAAACCCAGGTCTCCCGCATTGCAGGCAGATTCTTTACCAGCTGAGCCACAAGGGAAGCCCAGTGATAAAGAACCCACCTACCAATGCAGAATGCTTAAGAGATGCAGGTTCAATTCCCTGGGTTGGGAAAATACCCTGGAGGAGGGCATGGCAACCCACTCCAGTATTCTTGCCTGGAGAATCCCAGGGACAGAGGACCCTGGTGGGCTCCGGTCTGTAGGGTCGCAAAGAGTTGGACAGAAGTGACTTAGCGACAATCCCCTAGGGATAAAAAGTGTTGACTTTTAGTGTCAAAATTCTCAGTTGTATATTAGAAGAGTGATACATGTTAGGGAATGGTAAGATTGCCAGATAATACTGAAAATTAAAAGTGAGTGTGTATTGCTTTATCAAGAGTTTAAGAAATAAGGAATAGTATAATCAGTACTACAGTAAATTAAATTATATATTTACTTTCTAGACTCTTAATGTTAAAAGAAATATAGTTTTACAAATGTATTAAAGAAAATTTCATTTTCACTTTGGAGGAAAATTGCAGTGATCCTTGGGAATTATTATTACCATTAGCTGACTGTTGGAACTAGTTTTAATTAGTTAAGTATTTAGATGAAGTATTTTTGTGTCCCTAAAACATACTCTAGAAATTCAGTGTTTTTTGAAAATCCCTGATATTAGTTTTTTTTTTAACCCATAATTTGACTCTCAAACAGTATAGAAAGCAGAAACAGACCCCTTTTGAATATAGGAAAACCTAGCAACCACTAGAGTTGTTGTTTTGTTGTTTTTTTTTTCATTTATTTTTATTAGTTGGAGGCTAATTACTTTGCAATATTGTAGTGGCTTTTGCCATACATTGACGTGAATCAGCCATGGATTTACATGTGTTCCCCATCCCAATCCCCCCTCTCACTAGAGTTTTAAAGATCAATAATCTCTGTTTCATTTTTTAAATTCAGAGATACCTGAGAAATAAAATAGTAATCAGACAAGTGAAGAGTTAAATTATCGGCTTTATAACTAATGAGTTTAAAGACCTGTATTCCATTTTATGAGTCCTACCTCCTACTTCTGACTCAACTTTTCCAGTGAGGAACAGGCAGACCATTTGTTTATATGATCCTTTTGTTTTTTTTCCATCCTAACCCTTTCAAAATAATCTTCTATTCTGAGTTAGTTTACCAAAATTGCAGACCCTTTATCTTACTCTGTATCAAGCTAGACCATTAAAAAGATATTGAAGAAGAAAATGGCCTGAACCACCAAATGATTCAAAGTTAAATTAATTATTTGATTAATCTAAATTTTAGTTAAGAAAACAAAGAATGTATGATTCGAATTCTGACTTGAAAATTTGGTTTTGTTTACAATAGGAAAACTTAGAAAGTGAATTGAATTCACTTCGTGCTAACTATGATAACCTGGTACTAGACTATGAACAATTAAGAAGAGAAAATGAAGAAATGGAATTGAAATTAAAAGAAAAGAATGATTTGGATGAATTTGAAGCTCTGGAAAGAAAAGCAGAGAAAGATCAAGAGGTAAAGAATGTGGAAATGTGAAACTAAACTAAAAACACAGAAGTATTCTCTTAAAAATATTTATTTCTAAAGTTGAGATATTGAAGATGTACCTATTTTCCACATATATACACAATTTAGAGAATTTAAGAAATTATTTATATTGTTTTAAAAATAGTTAAGTCATATTTGTTTCTCTTGTGCTTATGCACAAGAAAAAGAAATTAAGAGCATCTTTAGCAAGGTTTGGTGAATCTGCCTATTGATGGATTTGTCTTGAAGAAATTATTTTCTTATAATTTGTATATTAAAGTATTTAATTTGTTGAGCATATGAGAAGTGCTGCCTAGACTATAGCCATTTCCTTCTGAGACCAACATGAATTTTAATATCCAGCTGAATGTTTTATATATGAATATTATCTATTAATGAACTTTGTTTTCTTTAGAAGGTATATACCTAAATAACTATGTGTGCAGTATTAGGCTACATGTTAAGCTAATTCAGAAACCATCAGACTTTGGGACTTGGAAACTGTCCAAAAGATTCAAGAGGTTTCTTAGTGTGGAAAGTCTTTAACCTAGAGTTCATAAACATTTTGAAATTATTTCATGGAATTTTGGAGTCCATATCAGTTTTCCAGAGTAAGAATCCACAGCTACTATCAGACCTGGGACATGATCCATTAGTGAAGTGAAAGTCTCTCAGTCGTGTCCGCCTCTTTGCAACCCCATGGACTATACAGCCCATGGAATTCTCCAGGCCAGAATACTTTCGCTTCTCCAGATCTTCCCAACCCAGGGATTGAACTCGGGTCTCCTGCATTGCAGGCAGATTCTTTACCAGCTAAGCCACCAGGGAAGCCTGACATGATCCATGAATCCCCTTAAGAATGAGAGTCAGTGTTTTGGTGTAGGTAAAATATGAGTTAATTTGTAGCTGCTTCTCAGATTTCTGTGTGGAGAGCCCAGAGGGACACAGTTCTTTTTTCTCAGTTTCAGAGTTTGTCACCTGTTTTTCTTTCTTAAGAAGAAAAAAAGAATTCTGTGCCAAAAGTTCTGCCTACAAACTGTAGTATATTTACTTCTACATTTCATAGGTATATCCTGAGAGGCAAAAATCTGTAAGTTCTCCACAGAGTTTCATTTAACTTGTTTTAAAATTTGTGAATTCACAAAATGTAAAACATCATGAGAAGAAAAGTGAACTTCAGCGTGTAATCTGAGTTTTATTGAGAGGGAAGTTCTAGTATCATGCTTAAGAGCATCGTCTCTGGAGCAGACTAGCTGGAATTAAGCTGTAGTTTTGCTGTTTATTAGCTCACCACAAATTTGAGCCTGGCTTGAATTGTGGGCAAGACTTTGAGGAAGTCATCAAATCTTTCAGGGCTTACTTTTCTGTGTATCTTCCCTCTGGAAGTTAAATTGGGAGCTTTTCAAGTCCCTTTCTAATGCCAAAATCTTATCTGATTTTTTATATGTACCTTATAAATAATATGGTATAAAGTTAACTTTGGGCAATTTTATACCCAAAGTGTAGCAATAATGTCTCTAATTTTTCTTACATTAAATAAATATATTCCATTAATCATTAAAAGTGAACAAATTCACCGAATTGAATCACATACAGAAAGATTACAAAAATATCAGTCTCATACCTTGATTTTTTTTTTTTTTCCTTTTTACCGTGAAAGGGGTAAATAATTCTATTCCCTTCATTTTCACTTGGACACACTTTGAAATTCTAGGTTCTGTGAAGTAACCTAAAATTTAAGTAATACTAACTGAATCTATTCAAAGACAGTTTTACAATATCCATTCCATATTAAACTAAAAATGCAAGTCTGAGTGTAAGCAATAAAGTATGTTCTAAAATCAACATTTTGGGGGAAAGTTTAGCCAAAAAGGAGTAAAAGTCAAATTACAGCCTTAGGACATGTGACCATTGCCCTGGCTTCCTAAGGGTTTTATCAAAAATCACTAAAGCTGTGGGTAATTTTCAAGTAAAAATACAGTAATAAAAATATTTAAATAGTCATTTTAGAGAAAGGAATAAACAAGTTCAAGTATTATCATGATCAGGGAACAAGAGAAATTTCATTTCTCTACCAATTTTAGCTTGATTTAATTTTATAATTTTCACAACTTGGAGATATTTATGTTAATTAAATGTTTCACCTGCTGAAAACTACAGCTGAAATATGCACCATTTTTTATGTAGCAGTGGATTAACTTTGACCATATCATATAGATTCTCTACTCTGCATTTTGAACAATTCATCATTGGAAGAATACACTCATCTCTTTTCAAAAATTACTTAATCTTCTTCTGTTTATGTGAACCAGTATTTAAAATGAAGAGCAATTTCAAATGAGAAGTAAAGCAATTTTTCCTTCTAAATATTTTTCAAAACTTGAAGTTAATTATTTAGTTCTTCATTTCTGGCAAATGTGGTTTCCTTGCACAAAAGTTAGAGAAGAAAAGGTAAAAGAGCCAGCCAATTTAAATTGTAACAATACAGATTAAAACTTTGCTGAACAATGGGCTAGCCACTAATCACATGTGCCAGCTGAGCACTTGAAATGGGCCCAGTCTCGACTGACCTCAGTATGAAAAAGAGATGAAAAGTTACACGAATTTTTTAATACTGATTACATGAAGTAAAATAGTTATATTTATTAGATTAAATTATATTAAGGGGCTTCCCCGATGGCTCAGTGGGTAAAGCATCTGCTTGCAGTGCAGGAGACATAGGAGACTTGGGTTCAATCTCTGGGCTGGGAAGATCCCCTGGAGGAGGAAATGGCAACGCACTCCAATATTCTTACCTAGAAAATCCCATGGACAGAGGAGCCTGGCGGACTACAGTGCAAAGGGTCGCAAAGAGTCAGACACGACTGAGCATGAGCACCGCATGGCTAATTATATTAAAATTAATGCTACCTATTTCTTTTTACTTTTAGTAGTGGCTACTAGAAAATTTTTTTATTATAAATTTGGCCCATATTATATTTCTGTTGAAAAATGCTGACCTAAAATAGAAAAATGTCAAACTAGCAGTAGTCTGAAATCTAAAACTAGTTAGGACTGAATTATTCATCCAGAAAATTTTATTTAATGATATGCTATTTTAGTAAGTCCCTTATATTTGACTAGAAGTTGTTTTTACTCTCTAATGACTCATCTGATTATGAAGATTAAAGAACTCTAAGGGATAATACATTTATCTTTGTTAAACTGTAGTTTACTTGTTTTGCACACTAAAGTTTCTGGTACTCAAATATTTAATGCTGCAGATATTTCAATAAAAAAGAAACTTCAATAGAAATTCTCATATCTTTAAGTAACCTTTATACTTTTAGACAGTTGAACAATATAAAGCAGTAACATCATCTTTCCAGTATTTCCTGTAGAATAAACCAACAAGGTAATAGTTCATAATCCCATACACATCATTGTAGCTTTCGTTAACAGTAAAATATTATAAAGGTACCACTTAAAACTGTCATAATCCAAAACTAAATTTCAAGTCACAACTCATTAAAAGTATGCCAGTATAAAGCTAGGTGGATAATTTATCAGAAAAGAGAAAAATCTTATAGAATAAATATACTTCTGCACTTAACCCAAAACAAAGTTTGGTTACCACTATGTCTTCTACAAATGGTGGATACTAATTTGCTTTTGACATTATTGTAGCTTTATTAACAATGACGTAGCTATTTTGGGGTCACGCTTAGGCTTTTTTCTTATTTGTTTTGTAGGGTTTGGGGATTCTTTTGTTTGGCTGGAGAGTTTGGGGTTTTATTTGTTTATTTTTAAATAACGAGGTGCTTTGTTGCAGTAGCTTGAACAGTTGCTTCCCCAGTCCTTGCTGTGTTGGGTGATTCTAGAGCGGTGAATGAATGCTATCATTTTTTTTTTTTTTGCTTTATTAACTGTTGGTTTGCTCTGTTGCCTGTTCACATGCTCTTACAGATGCAACTAATTCATGAAATTTCCAACTTAAAGAATTTAGTTAAGCATGCAGAAGTATATAATCAAGATCTTGAGGTGAGCACTTATGTTGATATTTCTATTGATAAGGAGCCCAAACTGTAAAACATCTATGTAATTAAATATGATTTCAGAAAATAGAGGGAATTATGTTTTTAAAATCTCAACTCTTTGAATTTTGCTATCTGCTGATTTAAACTGTTAAATGTAAGTTCTTTTTAATTCCTTAAAATTGAAACCCACTTAAATTATGTTTTTCATTCTCCTTTAAATGTTTTAGAATGAACTAAGTTCAAAAGTAGAGCTGCTTAGAGAAAAGGAAGACCAGATTAAGAAGCTCCAGGAATACATAGAGTCTCAGAAGTCAGAAAGTATGAAAATGGACTTGTCATGTTCATCGGTAAATGTCAGATTTATTTTGTTGTCATCATTTTGACATTTGTAGTTATACTATCATCATCGCTACAAATACTTATACTGAGCCTACTGTGTACTGGGCATTGTTCTAGTTGTTTTAAGTATAGAATTTTAGTTAATCCTGTGAGAGAGGCACAATTAATATCATTGCCATTTTGTGGATAAAAATCAGAGTTGACAACACTATCCTTCAATCAAATATAAGTAAATTAGTGATGAACTTCCATTAAAAATCAGTAATTAAAAATTTTTTTAATTTTTTTCAATTGCTTTGTACAAATGCATGGAGAAATATAGGATTAGTATTTTCAGGTAAGCACTTGACATTGATTAGTAATTAGAACTATAAAATATATAATTGAGCCTGATTTCATAAATTACATTAATTTTATTTCATTAATATATATATTAATGTATTCTCATTATAACAAAGTAACTATTTTAACAGCTTAATATTTTTCAGAAACTGTAGCTGTAGGTTATTTTGGTCAGTATAAGATTGTGCCATTAAACAGTACTGAATCTTATGGTGGAATTAGGTTTTTTTTTTTCTATTTTCTTTCAATTCACCTGATTACTTTAAGAAAGTATCAGTTGAATTCTCGTTTTTAACTCTCTTTTTTTTAAAAGGCAGCAATTTCTAGCCAGAAATTTTAGATTATTAGCTGCTATTGTTCTTCTTTTGTTTGCATTTGAGTTTTTCAGAGTACTTTTTGTTATTTTCTATTGGTACTCTCTTATTATCTTTTGTTAATGGCAAATGATCTTTTTGAAAGTGTTCTTGTTGTTCTAAGGCCTTGGAGAGAAAGACATTTTCATATAATCCTGGCGTGTCTATTGATAGAATAAGAATTGCCCCCCCACCACCTTTTTTTCCCTAATTTTTTTGACTGTGCCACGTGGCATGTGGGATCTCAGTTCCCCAACCAAGGATCAGATCCAGGCACCCTGCATTGGAAGCTTGAGTCCCAACCACTGGGCTGCCAGGGATGACCTTGCCCATTTTTTAAATTGTTGTTTATTTCTTTCTCTTTATTCATCCAGTTCATTGATTCATGCATGTACCCATTAATATTTTGCCAAGGACATATGGTTGAATTCATGTATGGTTGAAGTCATGTTAAAATGCCACTTCTTTCTAAAAATGAGACTGGATTTTTTTTTTCATATTTATCAGTCATTTCCTTTTTTCTCTTCTGTGAGTTGCCTGTTCATATCTTTTCTCTATTTTTCTACTGAATTATTTTTTTTTTAATTTGTGATTAAACATCCTTAATTTTAACTTATTAATTACTCACCTGTCATGTTTTGCAGAGAGTAACTTAAAAAAACAAACAAACAAAGACTTTCCTGGCATTCCAGTGGTTAAGACTCCACACTTATACTTCAAGGGGCACAGGTTCAATCCCTGGTGGGGGACTAAGATCACACTTGCCCTTCTGCATGACCAAAACAAAACATAAAAAAAGAGTAAATCAGAAAATAAAAATACATAGAAAACTTTTAACAGGCTAGGTGAGCAACAATTATGTTATCCTTTTTAAATAATAGCAGAATTATTATAGTACTTCTACATGATTCTTTTATAATTTTGAAATGTTATAGCTAGAATTTTTTTTTTTTAATTTTTCTCATTTGGCTGCATTGCATGGTTTGTAGGATCTTAATTTCCTGACCAAGGGTCAAACCCAGGCCCTGGCGTTGAAAACACTGAATCCTAAACCACTGAACCCCTTAAAAATTCCCTAAAATATTTTTATTATGAAAAATGTTATTCATTTTTATCTATTCTAAAAATACATTTGGTAATTTGCATAATCATTTTTCATTTCTTAGGACTAACATACATATATACATTGGCTTTTCCAAATCTAACAAAATTAGTTTTCACTAAATCTTTTTTGTCATGTGTAAAGGAAAACACTGAAGACCTAAAACAAATGAAACAGACTCTGCTTGATGTCGAAACTGTAGCTCTTGATGCTAAGAGAGAATCAGCCTTTCTTAGAAGTGAAAATCTAAAGCTAAAAGAGAAAATGGTGAGTGATTTTTGTAATATTTA